TCTTGACAGGGGTTCCATTGTCGACTGCATCTTCCTAGACTTCTGAAAAGCGTTCGACAAGGTTTCTCATCAAATGCTTCTCTTAAAACTCGGCAAACTTAACATTTATTCCAACGTTCTTCATTGGCTTCACTCTTTTCTCACTGATCGTTCCCAATTTGTCCCTGTGAATAACACCTCATCCATCACTTCTGCAATTGAATCGACCGTGCCTCAAGGCTCCGTACTGAGACCTTTGCTTTTCCTCAGCTACATAAACGACTTACCTGATAATCTATGTTCATCAATGAACCTTTTCGCTGACGACTGTGTTATATACCGTGTTATTGACAGCGACTCTGACGTCTCTCTTCTACAATCGGATATAAACCGTGTTAGTGACTGGACTAACACTTGGAACACGGAGTTAAACACTAACAAATGCGAGCACATGCGCGTTTCACGTCGCGATACAGCATTGCCCTCTTATCATCTTAATAATACTAACCTAGAACCTGTGTCATGTTACAAATATCCAGGCGTACTCTTCACTTCTGATGTTTCCTGGAAGATGCATGTAACACGTGTAACCAATAATGCTAATCGCACGCTGGGCTTTATACGCCGTAATTTTCATCTTTCTTCCTTTCCAGTAAAATTAGTTCTGTATAAATCATTAGTACGTTCCAAAATGGAATATGCTGCATCTGTGTGGGACCCCAGCCAAGAAACACTCATTCATCAGCTTGAATCCATCCAGAGTCGGGCTGCTCGTTTCATTCTTTCCAACTATCATCGCACCTCCAGCGTCACTTTCATGAAAACAACTTTATCATTACCTCTGCTCTCACAACGTAGAGAAATATCTCGCCTCTGCCTGTTTCACAAGACATATTACCACAATTTCATCCTTAAGAATAAATTGATAACCGCTTCTTCTTACGTATCCGCTCGCATTGACCATCGTCATAAGGTTGGCATTCCCACATGCCACACTAACCATTTTTACAATTCATTCATCCCCCGTGCGTCAGCAAGTTGGAATCACCTTCCCCGATCTGTAGTCGAGATGTTTAATACCTCTTTGTTTGAAGCTGCTATAACTAACCTGTCGCCATAATTTTTAGCAATATAGTATTTTCATTTTTCAGTAGACTTGTTAAGCTTTGTAGTTCTTTAATACCTGTTTTTTTTTCTTATAATGTGCATTATTTCTTCTTAGCTTCCTTCAATGATCCATGTAACCACCAATTTTCCGCTTTTTCATTTTGTGTAACCCACTCCCTTCTGTAATGCCCTCGGGCCCTGAGCGTATTGAAATAAATAAATAAAAAAATAAGTATTAACTAAAACGAAATATGTGAGAGCACGAAATTAACGTCCCTTTCCTAAATGAGGTCTGGCATGGGCAGGTTTTGGTTTTATACACGCTAACTCCGCTATGAGCTAACAGGTGCACATGCACCCATGACATTCGAACCAGTGTTAAGGTCACTGTAGATATAAGTATCCATATGCAAAGTAGGCTTTGTACAGCTATAGGCAGGCGATCTTAGGTATCATTGCCGCAATAGATCATTTTCACGCAATTCCTGAACCCCCCATGGGTGCGCGAACACTATGGAAGAAGTCTGGATGTAGGGTGCGCTGGCTGCTTCGTCGCCCGCTCTTCGTTGGTGCCGAGAGAGCATTCAACAACAACAAAAAACTCGCCGCTTTTGACTACAAGTCAGGTACTAAGTACTACACATGTCTGAACGCGCTTACATGTATCTCTACGCATGAAATGTGAAAGGAATTAGTGAAAATTTGTGTATAATATTCAGTTCGTGCATACATATTACTAAGCTGATGTATACGGCTTGTAACAGTTAAAGTATAGATGTCTACATCTAAAGACTTTCTTTTTTTATTCAATGATAAGGTATATAGCAGACAAATGCCAAGGAACGTACATAGGATGTTATTAGAGGTAACTGTAATGTAAATGTCCCGAAAAAATAGAGAAGAAAAGACAACTTGCCGTGGACAGAGCCCGAACATGCGACCTTTGAAAAATGCGTCCGAGGCTCGACCAACTGAGCTACCACGACTGCTATCCATCCGTTCAATTTCTGGGGTATTTATGCGCATTAAAAGTGAGAGTGTCAGTCAGCGCCACCAGTAGCCATGATAGCGAGTGTGGAACACTTTTTGTCAATCTGTTTGGCATCACGTAGCACGTACGTTAGCACGGGATGGTGATACGAGCTGGCAGCTGACCAATCATCCATAGTAGACACTCCTTGCATGGTGACTGGCCCACCGCCACGCGGCCGTCAGAGCAGACAGACATTGAGAGCCCGATAAGAATTACAAACGCTCTCGCAACGCTCGATAGCACGTAGTTTACCGCAATTATGAACTGCTGCATAGTTGATTATTGTACCAACCGGTAAACGTCGTGTTCAGTGGAACTACGTTCCTAACGCGAGAGCGTTAAAGATCTCGTGTCAAAGAAATTCCACCGTCGGCGTCGGCCCTGTTGGTTGTGAGCGAAAAATCTTGCGTGAGCGAAAAAGCTCGTTACATAAATCACCAGGGGAGGCCGCTACTTGACCACGCGTGCGTGCGTGATCACACTGAAAAAGCCGCACATCTGAAGAAAAAAAAAGAAAGCTCAAGGTCATGAGGCACGGGTGATGCAGTTTCTTTGCCCCTGTCACCCCTCTCTGCTTAGCTTCCAGCGCTTCCGTCGGGATGAGAGAACAGAGAATGCAATTGCAGCGTGCGACAAACATTTGTAGATCCACTCGCACTGGACGGATTCTTAAAATTTTTGCGCATTAAACTCGTGAGGCAATAAGCTCTTCTAGTGAATTCATTCCATGGTTACCTGAAAAAGTGTTTCAGGGCCCCTTTGACGCAATTTTTCGATAGGTGTTATGACGAAAACGAGCCCTTTCGCCGATTTGTAGGCGCATTTGGGATTCCTGAAGCTATGTCAAAAAAGGCCGGGATAGTGCAGTCATTACCGCTAAAAACACACAGGAACTTTCAAACGGCTCTAACAATAGGCAACTAAGTCCATCTAGTGGAAAACATATCACGCCTTTCCAGAGGCGTTGTTCAAGCAAACAGCAAACGCTAGATAATGTGCTGACATCTGTAAGGCACTCTGATACTCTTTATGACCTCCCAGATGGCGAGCGCATGGCGTGTATCTTGGAGGCCATGCAACTCCAGCTTTAGATCAAAACCTGTATGTGCTATTCGCGCGCGTGCTGGTACAATCTACTGTGTGCGTGTGTGTGTAACAAAACTTAATAATAAGTATGCGCCTAACGGTTAAAGAACGCACTAGTGGCTTGATTTCGCTATCGCGTTCAACCCTTAAAGGCGAAGCTTAAGGGTCCGCATTTTTTTACAGTTTCCCGACTCAACCCATGCTTTATTGCCTATCGTCCCGCTTTCTGGCGCTACATGCTTGGTCTGAGATACTACCTCTGCAGGTGCACCGATCCATCGTGATGCGGCCATAGAGCTGGGAAGAAAAGAGACGTACGCAGGCACTTATGCTGATGAAACGTTTCAATGACTCTAAATTATTATTAACTCGCCGTGTACCTTTCGTAGGTTTGGGGAGTACATTGCGAGGTGAATTAGTGTTTTCTGTGCTGATGGGACCATCAGTTAAAGGATGCAACTGAGTTACATATCGTATTATCGTAAACATAACTAGCCGGCCAGCGGTGCTATGCGCGCTTCGGTAGGATCTACCTAAGACGCGGTTGACCCTTATTAAGCAGACGCAACTCACCATGGAGGATCGGCCATTAAACTGGGCGGTGCCTAGTTATATATATGAATTTGTATACAATTTCAGAATGTTTAGGAATCGATCATTTTTAAAATAACTTATTAGCTTAATTCACCAAAAGAAATTTCCAATTCGATGGGTCTTTATGCAGGTACGTTAGTAATTTCCCAAGTCATTATTAAGTCAACGATACTAGTGCTTTCTGACAGCATGTTCCTCTGAGTGGTGCCTCTTCTGTGAGTGCAGATTGAAGCAGGGTTATGACGAGCGACATTCCCACAACAACTCTGTGCGTTCGTACGCCCGCGCGCTGTGGGAAACGGGGTGAGCCAACGCTTTCGCGAACAGACGACACTCCGAAGTTGCAACACTCCCCGCTTCAGACTACTCGTCACACGGCGCCGGGATAGGTTCTGGTTTGGTGGCACTGGCGGCGCAACAAGCTTCCACTAGCAGACGAAAACGCGTAGTCGTCGTGGCAAGACAATGTGGCGGCCGTTCAGAAAGAGCTTTGCCAATAGTATATTATCAGAAATTGTTGTGCTGCTGCAGGAACGTAATACTGGGGATATTTAGCGATGTAAGGCAAACACAGTATAATTATGGGTTTCCGAGCTGCCCACTATAAACAATGCTTGATTTATATAGCATAACAGTCTGCACGTTAGTTGCTAGTTGGTGTATGTTTGCAATAGATCTTTAGAGGCGAAAAACCTAATTACAGTGTATTGTATCCTGTCTTGTGGCTGTGTTTTTCGTGCCTGAAAATAAATTACAACTATGTGACGCAATCCCGCGGCTTTTGTCTGGTTATGTAGTCAGCTTTTTTTTTTCATGTCAGTCATACTCTTTAGGAACTTAGACCATCGAAAAGATACGCGTGCGGCCATTCTATTGAGCCAGTCTTCCCCCTGCTTCTCCTTCAGTTCCTCTAATGAAACCTGCTGACACAGCTTGCAGCCCAAGTTTCGAGCAGAGACCGCACCAGGGGTATGAAACTTCGCGGTTTTTTCGTCCCCTGAAAGCAGCGATCCTAACGTTTAGGGGCTTTACTACTTACGAGTAGAAAGTGAACGTTGTTGTTCTATTTTATAATTATTATCAGGTTACCTAATAACTACGGAGTTTTTAATACGCAAGTGAATCTCTAGGTTGCAGTTCGAGATTGCAAAAAATGAGCGCCTCCCGGAGTGGGAAACGGGAACTGCACAGTCGTCCTGTCTCTCACAGCGGAAAGGGGGCGTTTCTAGTCGTGCCCCCATGTGTACTATGGCCTACGGTGTCCCAAAGGCCGCTTTTATTATCCGTAAAGTTTGTTTCACAGAAACCCTGGTAACCCTCACCGAAACAGACGCATGTATGAATTTGCGCCGTCATCACAATATCGTGCTGTGCTGAGTGGTGCCGAAATTCTTCACGCCACACCGGACATAAAATTCTTTCGGATCCCGGCGGACCAAAGGTACGATCTGCATGCTGTTCATTTTGTTTTTCTAAGCTTGCACGGTATATTAGGATATGATTGCAGTAGTATCTGTGTAATTTAACGGGACATACATGTGCATGATTAATTTATTACAGTCTGCTTGAATTATACTAGACATGCACCGCAGAGCATCCGGAAATTAATTCGATGACTACATACGATTCGAGCTACACATGATTGCTTGTACTTGCTTTGTTATTTAATGCAGCGTTGCATTTCGATGTTGCATTTTGGCTCAAGTGAATGCATGACATGCAACAAATGTATTAGTAGTGACATATAGAATGACAATAGAACAATTTCAATTATCCGCACTCTTTTATTACCTTTCATTGCCTGCTTTGATGTTGTTTTTGAAGCGTGATTCATTTTTATTGTAGTGATTATGATATAATTATTTTATTAGCAATCCATGTACACAGCTGGAGGAGGGCTTCTAGCTCTAAGGGAGGGTGCATATACATTCATAGCATGTGTTGTTAGCACTATAGTAATTTAGTAGTGACTACATAAGATATTACACTTGCAAGCTTCGGCAGGGTGCTATTGATATTACTGCGTTTCAATTCTGTGTTTCCGTTTCGGCCTCACGTGATTCTATGGCATATTGCATAGGAATTTGTAGCAATAAATATACAAACTAAGCAGTTACTTTGTGTCTTTCTAATAATATTATAATATTAATAATAACTATAACAATTACGGTACTTATAATTTATAATGCACACTTGAAATACATGCTTCATTTTCCGCTTTTAGTGCAATTACGATATATTCACAAGAACGGAGTTACAGCTAAGAGCCCACAAATAATTGGACAACATATGGTTACATGAGAAAATAATTTATTAGCGGTTTTAATAAGGTTTAATAAAGATTTTCAACAGGTTGCGAGAAATACTCGAAGAATACGCAGTGAGCGAGGGTATGTATGCACGAATAGTTGTTTAAAGATCTGGTGTGGGATGGTTGCTGTTTTATGCAAAAATGTATTTTGGGATTAGGAGGAAAGGTGGGGTCGTAGCCAACAAACATTACTCAACTCAAATAGAAGCATGTATACGCGTCTCTTAATAATAAAGGAAAATTTTTATTTAAAATTTGCTTTCAGGATTGATGGTATGACAAGCAGTCTTTGTAACAAAAATCAAATTAAGAAAGTAATCATTCAAATGTATCAAATAATGCTTATTTCAAACAAATATGCCATTTATCCCTTAAAATTATCCTATATGTGCCGGAAAACAAATATATATTCATTTTAACCCTACAAACGCACATGTTGTTGTTCCAGATCACGCGCCTGGCTACAGTATGCGAGAAGGAGGACCTGGCTCATTTACCACCTCGTCAGATCTACAGCAGCTACCGGCCCATTTCACCAGCAGAGACTACGCGGAGCAGAGACTACGCGGACCCTGGACAGACAAGGCTTCTAAGATGTGCCGTGCCAACAGTTCCCATCTTTTGCGAAGGGCAGAGACGTCGAAATGTCCAAGTGGGAGTACTGTAATGTGAACATACAACTATAGTATGACATAAAGGCGGAGGAGTTGGACCGTATCCATCTTTGACCTAGTGCTCAAAATTGACGAGGTACAAAAGAAGAGGACGGGATAAGCGCTAATCCAACAACTGTTAGGCCAGCACTTGTCCCTTCCGCTTTTTTTCTTTTGGGCCTCGTGCTATTTTGTATGCTGCCCAACGATGAACAAACAGCGCAAGCTTTCATACCTCTAATATATATTTACAGAAATGTCTCAATATTCAATATGTGTACCTGTCCCAATTATCATCAGTCAGTATTTTTGAGATTCGCATGCAGATTACACCAACAATACCAATGCATCGTGTACACAGCAGCCATAATTACCCAGCAATATTATGCTGGTAAATATAATCAGCTAAGTAAATATTTTGCCGGCTTCACAATAGTTAAGTTTAGAGCAAACGTCTTTTTCAGAACGCTCTACATGTAACCTTCTTGATTCGGAAACATTTGTTCCTGCTATTTTACCGGCTGCGCAACCTTTTACATAAAAGAGAAAATTGCCTCAAAACTGAAGAGACTACGTCATGTGGCGTGTTATCAGCGACTGCGCGCTTAGTGAGGAGAGTGGCGGATAAATTGGTACCACTGTTAAAACAACTGGGCGATAGCTCTTAAAATGAGAGCAACAAAAGTGGGCTGTTCGAAATATATGTAATCTACGACACTGTAGTAGAGGGCTCCGAAAATTTCGACCACCTGGGGTTCTTTAACGTGCACCCAAATCTGAGCACACGGGCCTAAAACATTTCCGCCTCCATCGGAAATGGAGCCGCCGCAGCCGGGATTTGATCCCGCGACCTGCGGGTCAGCAGCTGAGTACCTTAGCCACTAGACCACGGCGGCAGGGCAGACGACATGCGAATCATGTAAAACGTGACTACATGCTACGCTCATAGCGTGCTCGCGGCGCTTTCACTAGCTTCCCTAGTTTGGTATCACGTGACGTGAATAGAGGACCAAGGTAAATCAGACGTCCAAATATAATAATCATGGCATGAGGCATGACACGTCCGCCTCGTAACGTTGTGCTGATTTAAAAGTAACGCATCAAGCTTCCTCATTCATGCTTCGTATTTTATCAATTCTCACTGTAAGTGGGATCTGCCAATTTTTCGTTAGGCCCCATATTATTAAAATATAACATTGAATGATTAACAAGTGGTGTTTAACGTCCCAAAACCACCATATGATTATGAGAAACGCTGTAGTGGAGCGCTCCGGAAATTTCGACCACCTGGGGTTCTTCAACGTGCACCCAAATCTGAGCACACCGGACTCCAACGTTTCCGCCTCCATCGGAAATGGAGCCGCCGCAGTCCGGAATTCGATCCCGCGACCTGCAGGGTCAGCAGCCGAGTACCTTAGCCACCTATACCACCGCGGCGCGCATGAATCAAATATAACAAGCAATTATACCTAGGAAAGTATTGCGGATGGTATTAAAAGTAATTAGAACTAAATGCGAGGAAACAAGGGTGGATGAAAAGGTAACTTGTCCTGGGCAGGATCATCGACAAATGGCGGTGCACAGTTTGAGAATCTCCTAGCTATTTCAAACAAATATATCGCAGTGATTTCTCAATGCACATTGTACTGTCAATTATAAATATTGCACGATTGAACACTTCCCTGCCAACTTGGGTGCTGGACTGTGGACCTGCAGGTCACAGGATTGCTACCCGGCCATGGCGGCTCCATTTTTAATAGAGACGAAAAGTAATAGATATCCTCGAGCGAATATTTAGGTTTAAGGTAAAAAAAACCTGGGTGGGGAAAGCTTTCGGAGACCTCTATTATGGCATTCATCATAATCATATGATGTTTTTTCGACAATAAACCCCAACAATTGTTTTGTAGCGGGTAAGCCTTATTTTTACCATTTTGATTTGGCCAGTGGAATTGAGCCGTTGTCTAACTGCCAAACCATCCAGCTTGACCTCGGAGGATGAGCCGTCGTTGCATCGTACATACATAAATAGCAAGTACCTCACACCGCGAAACACTCGAATACGACCTCGGCGCGCGCCGCCTTCACGAAGCGTGCGCATGCCAGCAACGACGCTGAGTCAAGCCGCTCGGCTCTCACATTTCCCCTCATCTTCGTACGAGAAGTAAGTGCAAGTGGGAAATGAATAGAACCAGCAGCGGTGACGTACCACTCGCCAAAGGCGACCACGAACCCGTGCGAATAGCTGTTCGAGAAGCGAAACACATGTGCGCATAAGCAAAAAAGACCTCAAGACCTTGAACACCGTAAGGCTGTTGAGGCGTCACTTGATAACAGGAAGATTAGGTTGATAATCTCGCGCGAAGTTATCTCACAGAAAATGCGTGACACCGTATACACTCGGACCGTGCAGACACGCAGGATCTGTCTCACACTCATCCCTGCTTTCGTGCTGGCTGCATATTATTATACTGAACGATTCTCCTTCGTCATAGGCACAAAGCAAACGATTAAAGCGTTTGCTTTACAAACGCTTTAATCACGGTGGGAGCACAACCGTGTATGTGCTCACTGGGCTCTGCAGTGGCAGGCGGAAGACAGGAACTGTCGTCACTTTTATGTTCTATATAGGGAAAGGGTGTACGCTTATCCAAAACTGTTCATTGGTCGACGTTTTGATCAGACACCGATCATCAAGACGGAATTTGTCACGATTCAATGCGCTTTCATATAGTCGTCTTCGGTTGGCCGCTCCAGTCCTCTGGCTCTAAGTCTCCAGACACTGAGGCAGCTCGCACTTGGAGCGCGAAAGGCAGCGCACCAGGCATGGAGGAAGGAAAAATATAGGGGAGTCCATGACGTCATACTCGTGAAGCCGCCGCATCACAAACACCTCCATTACCTCCTAGCGGAAAAGCAGATAAACTCTTTGTGATTTCCGGCGAGCAGCCGCCGCAGCGTCCTTTGAAGCGGCGCCAGCTGAGTGGTGGATGTTCTCTGCTGGCAGCGAGGCAATGCACGAGTGCTGCTTCTCTTGCGTGTTTTAGGAAAGCTGTGCGATGCCAAGCTGTAGTGTATACTCGGTGCGAATCGCGCTGCACCACCGGATGTACCTGGTGGAACTTTTCACGTAGGTTCGCTTCACTCTAGATCAATGATGCATAGTATTTGCATGCGTAGCTCTCAGCTGTACGCCACGTTGGTTCTTACTCACTGCGTCAACTGAGCTAGAACACACGCGAACTTTAGTTTTTAGTGTTGTAGGCATCGTGCCGCGTTTCTAGAAGTTGTGTCATTCATACGGAAGGACATTAAACTTTTCTTGTTATCGGAATGAATGAGTATGTATTGTTCGGTGTGCACTCGCTGTGTGTTAGTTGTGTGCGCGCGCCCTGGAATTACACACTTTACGGGCCCAATTGCGTATACACTACAGTGGTGCCTTCTTACCGCTGTGAAGTACGTCAAGTACCAGGCTGGCGTTGCACGGAATAGCTGCGAAGCAAGCTCTCAAAATCGTGCATTGCCACACTGACACTATATACGAGCAAAGAACTGATATTCGGCCCAAAGATCAGAAAATCTGGCTAAGAGAAAGAAAAAAAAAAGGCCTTATGGCGAGTAGAACGCTTAGTCACTACCGGGTGAGTTCGAATATGATGATGCAGGTGCTGAAAGATTTTGATTACGACACGTAACGGTGCTTTCTGTGCTGTTGCACACACTCCACGAAGTAATTCAGCATGCCGCGCTTGGGTCTGCCACGCACAGACAGTTTCGGAAATACGTGCTCGCAACATTTTACTGCGTGCAAACAATACAATACGAGTCAAGTTGACACCGGGGCTTTCAAGTACCGCGCAGAAGCGAACAAGCGCTTCTTTTTTTTTTCACTGCAGCAAGCAATTTAAACACATAAGTAGTGGTCAGAGATCTGAGGTTGCATGCAGAGTGAATTATTACCACCATAAATTGGCGTGGCCAGGTAGTGCCGGGGCCCGTGCCCCTCCCTTAACTCCTATTTTTTTTGGGGGGGGGGGGGCTGGCATACAGAACGCAAAATGACAATCTTCCTGACCGCCCCCACTTCAAATCAAAGAGATGCCTCTCTTATATCCATCCCCCTCTCAAAAAAGATTTCTGTTTAGGCACCCTGCATGCCACAGGGGCTTTCAGTGTGTGTCTATCTGTACGTCACATCATGCATGACACGGATGATGTGAATAAAATATTTGGCAGATTAAGCCACAGGCAGCTGCAGGAATAGTGCAATGATTATTGGTGGGAAGTACCATCTAGCTTACAGCTAAAAGCTCCTGGAATAGAACAAGGACCGCCAAAATGGTTTATATAGCTGTTAAGAACACATGATGTAGACTATAAGTGATACCCAAGTTTCTAGCAAACAATATCCTTGTTGGAAAAATGAAGCGTGCAATAGCCATTGTCTTGTATAGTTTATATGCCGCTGCTCCAGTGATCGCATATCGTCGTGGTCGCATATCACCTGTGTGGGACTCGCGCTAGTGACGATCGAAAAGTGGCCATAACTGCAATGACGTGCGATACTTGTAGGTGCGAGAAATAGCTGTGACAACGTTGCAGTAATTCACCGGTTTTGGTGCACGCTTCCATCGGTCGGTCGTTCGCTAGAGTCAAATAAGCACAGATGATCGACTGCACAACTTTTCCTTTTTATCGTTACCCGTGAACAGTATGACAAGGATGTGCTTGAATTGCGATAGGTGGGTCATGAAAACTTACACGCAAGTTTACACGACTCACCGTATGCGTCGTTGGTAAATGTACATTGTATTTTAGTTGTATCGAGAAATTTTGTTTCAGATTTGAACTTCTTACAAGATATATCACCGTCTCCTCCACAGATGAATTGCTTCCGCCGCTGCTAGGCAGTTAGGTGAGGCACTGCCGCACAAGATTGATTGATATGTGGGGTTTAATGTCCCAAAACCACTATAACGCCGTAGTGGAGGTGCCCTCCACTACGGCGTCTCTCATGATTATGAGAGACGCCGTAGTGGAGGGCACCGGAAATTTCTACCA